AATAGAGCAATCGCAAATACTTTGAACTCGACATTATATTATTATAACGTTTTCAAAATCTGACCTAAAAGTCCTGTTCTCGATTTTGATTGCAAAGGCTCCGCGATAAAAAGCAAAAGCCTAACCACGAGATAGAAAAAAAGGCTGGCAAACGCTTTTTTGTTTTACCATTACTTTCTTGCCATTTAATATTCTGTATTAACCCCTAAAGATATAAATTTAAAACACACACACACATACATATCTTTATATATATGTGTGTAATGGCGTTAAAGGTAACCAAAGATCTTATTGAATATTACAATTTATATAAATAAAACCTATAAATATACTTAGAGAAAACCCTATTTAAAAAACAGTGTATTTTTAAATTATATCTATCTTGAAAATAATTGTATGCTTAGCCTATGAATGAATCGATCATTGAACGTAACTGACATTGTAATGGAAAGCAATCAAGACTTGGCACATCATGTCAATGTTTAAATAATGACTGTCGAAATAATGATTTAATATTCATTAATATGATTACAACTGACAATTTAATTGATAACTATAATTTATTTGTTATAACATAATTAAGCAAGTTTTAAGTAAGTCAATTGAGAAATGTTTCTTCGAGTATAATAGGATTACTAATTATTTCCAACTAAGTAGGTCACACTTTCTTATAGGATTTCTATTTTCCTATCGTTGGTAGATCTATGCAGGGTAAATTACATTTTCGCTATATCGTAAAACCCAATTGAATCTACTTTAATGGTCTTTTCTCAATACGCTCTCCACCATTATATTATATGCTATGCTCGCAATCCGACTATGTTGAACATTTCAATAGATTATATTATTATATGGATATAAACGGTTTTATTTCGCATCCCAAACGTTTAATCTTTTAAGTTGAAGCCGTACGATAGAGTATAATTTATTGTTAAGGTGCTTTCTTTACACATACGCGTTAATTGAAAATCGATTGTATGAACTAAACATAAAAAGCTTAATTTTTTTAGCATTTTCATACATTTTTTTTTTTTAGTCAAAATTTAATGAAAATACAGAGTTCTCCATACAGTGAAATGGTATGAAAAATCAAAGGAGCGTGCACACGATATTTTGTTGAATTATAACATTGGCCGATTGCGGATTAGTGCGAATTTTAGCGGTTAATGTAAATTGCCATGGCAGCGAGGAGCGCGTTTATAATTATTTAAAACAACAGGATAGGCTTAACGTGCAATGGCGTGTCCGTGTGTACGACGTGGCGCGTATAGTGACAGCAAGATAGGGTGGAGAGCCCAAAGAGACGTGATTTTGAACAGCCACCAAAGGGATTAACCGATTCCGTACATAATTTTAGCCGGGAATTAATTGCTGCGGGTTTTAAACCTCGCCGAATTATTTATAGGTCCCCGATACTACACTAGACGAGTATAATACATGTGTATATATTATAATATGTATATTGATTTTTCACTGAGTATTTATTTTCCAATTAATAACCGCGTCTAACGAAAACCGACACAACCCTCACACCCTCACCCCCAGCTCCTCCCCTCCCCCCCGGATTTGGATCTCTTTTTTTTGGAGTAGCGGCAATGATCGCCGCGACACTTGTACAAGACCATGACTCGCGGATAGGGCAGTCTCAGGCGGTGCAATTAGGGTTAGGAGTGGGGTAAGTGCGTCGTTAACATGCTTATGTTATTAACTGTGTTAACGTTTGTTTGGAATAATATTTAATACAATATTTACTTATTATTTTCTGTTGTTATAGACGTATCCGCTATATATACAATATATATATAGGTTCAAATGATTCCCGTTACAGACAGTTTACCGAGTGTGATATTGTATGTTATTGGTTATGGAAATTGTGGATAACGCTGTAATGGTAAAAAGGCGTTTGCTTTCTGGTATTATTTTTATGATACATCATTGTAAAGACAAATGCTAACGTTCGACTCGAGAGTACGTTAACGATAAGAGGTGTGGCACCTCATATTCTATTTGTATAGTAAATTGGATACAATGTTATTTGCGTTCATAGAAGAAATAAGTGGTGTATTTGATAGCATTCAAATGACGACAAGTCATACACTAGGTGATTTTTTTAACACCCTACACTAGTATACTTATAAATGAATTTACAAATCGCCTATGTATTTCAAAAATAGTTAGAAAATTAACGTTTTGAGAAATAGCGAAAAACTGTCAACTGAGTTTAACAAATACTCGACCGTCGTGTCACCAGCGGCCGAGGCTTACAAATGAGACAAACAGGGGCGGCCACGGGGGGGGGGGGGTAAATAATTGAATTTGGCCATAGAAAATCGACAGTCCGTATAAGAGATCCTTTTTTCCACAAAACCCTTTTTTTTAAAAACCAAATCCCCCCGTTGGGGGAAACTTCAATTTTCGGCGAAATCTCCCATGTTATCTATGCACACACTCGCGTGTCATTTGGTAATGCCGTTTGCGTCTAGCTCTGGGCTTCGGTGAATTGCCCTCCCCAGCCATCCGTGTCATAGTAGTATTAGGTTGTTGCGTGCCCGACGTTCGGTATTATATTTTATAACCCGTTTCCAATATATAAATTATGAAAACATCACATAACCGCACATAAATCAGTACCTCCCCTAACGCGACGACTGTGAACTTATAATATTGTATTATGTGTGTGGGGAGGGAGCAAACCGACTACTGTACAGTTGTCATCGATAAGAAACAAAAAACATGTTAACCCGTCGTTGGTAAACCTATATTGTAGAACACAATTGCTAGGCTGCGAGTGCTGCGCTCACACGCTATTTTTTCAATTATTATAAATTACTAGATAAACTCAGAACATTGAATCATACAAAGAAATATGTATCTTTTTACTCACTACCAATTGGTAATCATTTTTTTGTATTTACTATCATAAGAAAATAAATTAAAATAAAAAACTTTAATTTAATTTTTTTTTTTAAATTGTATAGTACAAAATAATAAAAATTAATGAAATAAATGTAAAAAAAGGCCTAAAATGTAAATTTAATGATTATAAGAGATTTAAAATAATTAAGCTGAGGAGATCGTCATGTTATTACAGGATACACAATAATATGTAAAATACAGTTGACAAACTGTGAGCGCGGCGCTCACTTTATCGGTACAGTCAATTTTGTTCACTGATAACTCCGGAGAAAGTATAGTTCGCGGCTTCTTTTTTTTTTATAAATATTTGTTTACTTGTTATTCAAAGGTAATAATAGAATCAAGCCAATTAACAAACATTTATACGACTGGCATTCAAAACTCTATCTGTGTGAGCGCCGCGCTCACGTGTTTCCCAACGACGGGTTAAGTGTAGTTATATATATATTATATATATATATATATATATATATGCCCTAGACTGTTTTTGATTTAATTTTTAGATTTTTTTGGTTTCTCCTGCGGCTCTGAGAAATGTTTTTAAATTGTTAGGTAGACATCTGAAATTATTCGCCAAATTCTTATACTTAAATAGGTGACTATCGATTGGAAGAGTAAGAAGAAATATTTTTTTTTTAGACACAGTCCAATATACATATTACTATACAACAATAAGTAATCTCGTTTGTTTCAACCTCCGTCGTGTTTGGGCTTTGAATCTCATCTTATACAAGACCATTTCTCACAACTTTTTCAAAATGACAATGCTCGTTTACAATGTTGTATTCTCCGAAACTTACCTTCAATTCCAGACAACACACTTTATCGTCGAACAAACTGTCAAAATGTCCAGGGTAATATTATGACTAAAACATAAAATATTAAAATTCAAAGAACAATATATTACTTTTTCGATATACGAATGCATTGCGACATTACGATAGTAGTCACTGTTTCCTTGAATGACTGTTTATTGTATTGTATAAAATACAAAACAGACGTTTTAACTTGAATTGTGTGTACATTCTAGTTTTTCAATAATTATACATATCTTAAGTTTAATCACACTTTAATTATTTTGAGATATAACATAATCGAAAAAACAGATATTGAAATTTTAGACAACCTTAAGTATAAAAAATGTCCACTTTTGTTTTGTCCAAATAATTAATTTTCTATAATATGTCATCTGTAACTTTGTGCATAACACTTAAATTATTTTATTGCTTTGTAGCAATTCAGAACAGGCTGCATTACACATTGTAGGACGGTAGTTTTATGTTGATTGTTTTCGCTATTGCCTAATACAAGATTTTGGGTAAGTAACTCAATTTCCTGTAATTGGGTAACAAGGTACAAGATGTTGCAGTTTACAAACCGAGTTACCCTTATCAAGTTATTCATCGTCCTGGGACACATATGTAGTCATAGAAGACTTTAAGTTGACCCCAAAATAATACAGAGCAATAATTATAGTTTCCCTTAACAGCTTAAAGTACAGCATATTAGTAATATGTTATTTAGTCCTTGTTTTTTTTTTAAAGTAATTTAATTGACTACTACCCGAAATAAATTATATTTATTTTATACTTGAAATTAAAATTAGTTGCATTTAATTTTGGCAAATAGTTTTCGTTTAAAATTCATAATACGAGAATATTTCATGCATAAATATAATATGTCCAAAAACATGTGTATACACTTTAGAGTGTAGCGTTAGGCATCTGTAATGAACTTACTGACTTCTGAGAAATTTCCAAGTTTAAATAAGTTTCTGTCACTTTATATATGCTACACAACTTGATGAACTATAATGATTAATAAGGGAAGTTTGGTTTGCACTGTCTTACATCAAGAAAACATGTTCATACGGGCCATAACAATAAATTAAGTTTTGCCCATAATATTTTATAAGATTAAATGTACATAAATAACATTAAAAAAGTCATCGTTAGTAACGCTTGCTAAATGTAAAATAAATATAAAAGTATTACATTATCATTGTATAAAAATTTGTAATTGTATTTAATAATACTTATTTGTTTTTAATTTATTTGAAATACATTAGTTTTTCTTTTTTACAGATAATGAATTTTATGACAATGAAGGTAAGCTAGAACAATGATAAGCTATTGGAAGTAATTTTTTCTAATACTTTATATATATTATATTTGTAAGTAAATTTTTTAAACAGAAAATTAAGAAAAAAAGGTCATAGAATATTTTACAAAACAAAAATGTTTATTATTACAATTTTGTGTAAATATAAGTGCATATTAAAACAAGTACGCAAGTATTAAAATATTCTAATCCTCAAGTTAGCAGTCAACCTACGGGTGCTACTTATAGCTTTAACGATTTTTCATAATAATATTTTTCGACTTTTAATTCTGTATTCAAATAGAACGTTGTATTTAAAATGAGTTGAATTTTCGCATTTTATTTTTATTAGCGCTTAAAGAACTTTGCATAATGTTTTTCATTTAAAATTAAACATAACTTACCGTCGTTTAGTTCAATGATTTCCATCTGCAATTTGTTCTGACTAATAAAAATAACAACTCTTTCCCGTGCCTACTGCTGTTTTTATAATATTGGGTGTTTATTTTATATACGAATGTAAACCGGATTTACAGTCTTTATGTTTTTGAGTGAATAGCTTAAAAAAAATTATTAACTAGAATTCTGCAAAACGGAATACTTATACCAGCCTATATAGTAAACTATGTAATAATATATGTACATTTTTTCACTCAAAACCTAAACCAAAGGAAGAAGGCATTATTGTTATTTTTTTTTTCAATTTAAACTTCGTTAAAAGTATTTGTTTTTTTAATTTTATTAACGATATAAACCAGAAAGGATAATTCGGATACAAAAAAGGTTAATGCCGACAATTTACATAAAACCGGAAAAGGATAAAACGCTTTTGTTAAAAGTGTTTGGGTAAAAAATATCGGTCGAAAGAAAATATTTGTATAGCGCAAAAACTGTCCACATCGCATAGAATTACCATGATATTTTCATTGAAGAATTTCTTTTTTTTATTCATCTTAAATTTTGATATTTTCCATGAAAACTAAGTCTGTATTGGTTTTCAGTTAATTTTCATTTTATAAACCAATGATATGAGGCAGTGATCACCTCACAAAATATACACATTACCTACATATTATTATACAATTTCTTGTTAGCTTTTCCAATTTTTACATGTGAGTTTATATATTACTGTAAATTCCAACTGTTCAAAACCACTATATATTTATCATTTTTAGTTATTTTCCAGAGCGCCGTCAAATTTTGAAACTCAATAATTGGGAAAGTATACATTTAATTATTGTTTTAGAAGAAGTATAATTTGCTAATAGTTTTTTACGGGTCGATAACCTTTTCTATCGATTACTTTTAATGTTATTAGAATTTAAAATTTGGAAGGGGGGTTTGACTGCGGTTGAGCAATGTCAATATATTAAAATAATATTTTACAGTTTACTCCACTCTTCCTCCGACGCTAAACTGTAATAAGTTTATACATAATTTTTTAAACCTGGTTATCGATCAGTCAAAATGTTCAGAAAATTATTCTTCTTCTAAAAAGTTAAATAAATATATAAGTCTCAATGAAGTTTCAAAAGTTGATAGCGCTTTGGAAAATACTAAAAATGAAAAAATTAGGTAATTTTCTAATAATGTAGAATAACATAAATGAAAATTAAAGTACAAAATGATAATTATTTTCCTAATCTAATAGGTACACATGAATTGTTATAATATGAATACATCTTTGACAATTAATATGTTGGTTATTTGTTAAGACCAAAGGATAATATTACACTGTAATTTCTTGCTATTTGTCCATGGGATCTAATGATATGTTAAGTTATGATAGAATATTGTAACAGTCAAGTTGTACCTATATTTTATTCTGTATAAATATATTATACATAATATAGCTCGCAAAAGGAAAATTTATAAAGTTGTTGCTGAAATTAAATTAACCAACTAATAACAAACTACGCTCATCAAGTACGCTCGCTTTTAATGAAACAAGATGCAGTTATAAATGAAGTAACGTGTTTGAGCGACGAGCAAAACCATTAATTATTATTGTATTAACATAGCGCCAGAATAGGATTTATAAATAAATGAATGTAATTTCAAAAAAAATATATGAGATCCAACAAAATGAATCAATACATAAATAACGCATAGCAGCTGCTATATTATATTAGCTTCATCCCTAAAATCTTTTAGTGAATAACTAGGTGTACACTATTCTCAAACTACAGCGTACATGTACTTAAAATATTTTTATTGTTTTTCGTAAGACACTATTATCTGTAGTATCTTATCAGCACGATATATTTAACGGTATTTTATTTTCTTCTAATTAGACAGACTGACTTTGGCCTTACACTGTTTGCGTCGCATTCAAACTGCTGTTTTTACCTATATTTTCATTAAGTATGATTTTACAGACCCAGAAGAAAATTTAATGAAATCTTACCGGCCAATGTACAACAGCTGTCATTTTGCAGATTTTCATAGTAATATATGTAAAAAAATATGTTTGTATTGGCCTTGTATATATGTATGTATGACACTATATGAACGGCCAATATAATGTCGGTGAGCTGTGTGGAACGGGACAAGCTTTAAACGGCAGCCGAACAAATCGCTTTTAAGCCTGTTTTTTAGTGCTGTAACATTAGTATATGTATTGTGCCAGTGTATACAACAATAATAGCGCGTTCGCATATTCAGTAATGGCAGCCGATTAACCGCAGCCAAAAGACCAGAAACAAAGGACTTGCCTGCGCTAATACTCGCAAGCTTGACCTTCTTTCAACCGTTTTCGAACAAATCCGATTTGCCTGCCCGCGCCCTCCGACTTTGGATGATGATAATAATAATGATATCGAATCGCAAAACGTCATCCGCAGAAACTTTTAGTATAATATTTTCCAAATCGAATTTCTTGCCACGGCGACGAGGTTTGCCCTTCGTTCATAGAAAACGATTTATCGATTATTGTCTCCCCACCCTCCACTCCTTACAACTTATATTAACTTATATTCCATAATGATCATACAGACGTTATTCCTAAACTTTCGAATATTCACCGGTAATAGAATCACATACAATTGCTTAATCAGGTTTTATTATGGATCAACTGCGAGTATTATATTATTATGTGGGTACTCTTCAGAGGGATTTACCTAAAAGGGGTTTATTGGGAGGGGGAGGGGTTGAGATAAGCTGATTGACTAACTAAATTGTCTTCGTATTTCTACGGAAAATATATTAAATTTTGTAGGTCGATCCAATTAAAGTAACGCACATATGTTCTACGAATATAATTTTTTATTTGGAATCAAACGTAACTTCTTAACCCGTGCTTCTTTTTTCTTCGTAAACCCAATATGGTGTAAACAGATTATGCCGGAAAAGGTTTTTTTGGCACTAAGTAATGAGCAAAACCTTGATTTTTGCAATTCATTTTTTAAAAAATATATTGTTTTTTTTGTTTGTACATTTTTATTCTTTGAGCAATTAAAATCGCAAATTCGTCATCATCATTATTATTATTTCAAATATAACGATTCGAAAGAAAACGTTTAAATCCAATGAATAGGTTTCCAGTGAAAAATAATGAGTTTACTTATTTGTCTTTTGTGGCCATTTTATTTTTATTTGCGACTTTATACCCCATTGTTAGTTTTGCATTTCAGTTTGTTATTTTCTTTTCTAAAAAAAAAAAATAGAACCCTTTAGTTATAAGTAATATGTAATAATATGTAAAAATACAAAGTTAAGTGGAGGTTGTTGTAAGTATATATAAAGCACATATAAAAACATTTATTTTTATTAAAAAAAAACAAACAAAATTTGATATTTTATTTAAACTGAAACTAAGGAGTTTTTCAATTGATCTAAATATTGTTTCTTGTTTTATTTCAAAAATCGCAGTGAAAAAATCGTTACATATTGTTTATTATTGTCTTTGAAAGTTAGACTGTCCAACAACCCTAAAAAATACAATAAAATAATACAAATTTTTGGTTTGAAGTTTTTAAAATAAAAAGTCAAATTTTTTCTGATCGTTTGAAAAAGATGCTAAAGGAAACGTGATTAAAAGACTAAGTTTTACTTTGAACTGTTTACTATGTTTAAAGTTCCCTACAAAAACCCTGAGAAGTCAAAATATTGTCTATAAATAATTGGGGTTTATTAAATAAAATAAATCTTTTAACTAAAATAATTTATGCCTTCTATAGAAACACAAATAATTAATTATACAAAAAACTTGCTTGGTAAACTTATAACTGCCAAAGGGTCGTTTTAGTAGGTACCATTTTAAAGCAGTTAATTTGCATCATACATGGCGTTGCAGGTAATTATACTATTTAATTTTCCGAAGGGTATTTTTATCAGATTAAAAGTTACCTTTTACTTCATAATAGACTTATAAGGATTATAGTGTAAGTTTCATCATGGCCGGAAACGTATAAAAGTAAATGACTTGAGCTTTATGGCTCGAGAATAATTTTGATAGTGGAAAATTCATAATATCTAGGTATTATGAGTTTTATGTTATTTAAATATAAAACAAACTTAAGTAATTGTGCGATACATAATATTAGGTCATCGCGATTTTAGAAGTTGTCTGTTTATTGTATTTTACTTGTTACAGTTACTCCCTTTTATACATATTTTTTTAATAATAACATGTATTCTTTTCTTTTCTTTAATTTGTTCATAATTTTATTGAAAATAAATGTTGTCAAATAGTAAACGAAATAATCATACATCTTTAATATGTTCTTTTATCATAAGCAGTATCTCGTTGTATTAATTATTATTATATTAATTAAAAGTTAAAACGATAACTCGAAAGATGCAAGGTTTTAATAGCCGAGCCTAAATGTAATTATTGGCGATTAAAATTAACCCTTCGGGCTTCGGATATAACAACGTTTTACGGTATTAATAGAAAACGACCCTATTAGGTATTGCAAGCGAACGTTAAATTTACATCATAATTTTATTAGCTCGGTAGATCAACCATTTATATTATATAAGCTGACTGATTTGTTTTACTCGTTCT